TGGTTGAAAAGTCTTTGTGGCCCACCTCTCTTTATCCATTCCTAAGGTCACTTATTGGTTCCCAGAAACCAGCTGCCATCAATGGAAGCTCTGCAGGCCCAGACTGGAGAGGGGATGCAACCCTAAACTGAAGCTTGCATGCTGGCTACTTAGTTAATAACATCTCCATCTATTTCCAATACTGTCATAACTATAAAGGGAAGGGTAACAGCCCTCCTGTGTACAATACTATAAAATCCCTCCTGGCCAGAGACTCCAAAATCCTTTTACCTGTAAAGGGTTAAGAAGCTCAGGTAACCTGGCTGACACCTGACCCAAAGGACCAATAAGGGGACAAGATACTTTCAAATCTTGGGGAGTGGGGGGAGGCTTTTGTTTGTGCTCTTTGTTTTTGAGGGTTGTTCGCTCTTGGGACTGAGAGGGACCAGACATCAATCCATGTTCTCCAAATCTTTCTGAACAAGTCTCTCATATTTCAAACTTGTAAGTAAAAAGCCAGGCAAGGCGTGTTAGTTTTATCTTTGTTTTCTCAACTTGTAAATGTACCTTTTGCTAGGGTGTTTACCTCTGTTTGCTGTAACTTTGAACCTAAGGCTAGAGGGGGTTCCTTTGGGCTCTTGAAGTTTGATTACCCTGTAAAGTTATTTTCCATCCTGATTTTACAGAGATGATTTTTACCTTTTTCTTTCATTAAAAGCCTTCTTTTTAAGAACCTGATTGATTTTTCCTTGTTTTTAGATCCAAGGGGGTTGGATCTTGATCCACCAGGAGTTGGTGGGAGAAAGGAGGGGGGATGGTTAATTTCTCCTTGTTTTAAGATCCAAGGGGTTTGGATCTGTATTCACCAGGTAATTGGTGAAGAGTATCTCAAGGCTACCTAGGGAAGGGAATTAGCACATTGGGAGTGGTGGCAGCGGACCAGATCTAAGCTGGTAGTTAAGCTTAGAAGTTTTCATGCAGGCCCCCACATCTGTACCCTAAAGTTCAGAGTGGGGAAGGAGCCTTGACAAATACACATGGAACAAATACAGGAAGGAGGAAGCCTTCAGTCCGTGACAGCATGTAACTGAAGCAACCCATATCATGGGCTCCAGTAACCAGTACACAAAAGTTACTGAGTTCCATAGATGACTCTTCATTCAGAGAATCCCAAGAAGACACATGCAAAGAAGAAAAGATGCTTGGTTTTGTCTGGTCCTTTCTGTCTGCCTCGCTCTCTATCCCTCCTTTCTGGGATCCACTAAACTTTTGCCATCAGTGTCTCTTTAAAATTTCTCCAATTTGGCACCATCAGGGAATTCTGCTTTGGACCCGTTTATTCTAAAACTTTGGATCACCCAAAGCAGCTTGGATATAATGGGCAGCTTCTTTCACGTCGGAAAGTCTCATGTCAGCGTCTAGATTTCTCTCCAAACCATCCAAGTCACAGGAGCAACATTCCTGTTCACTATTTGGTTCCCCCCTCAAAGGCAAATGGAAAAATCTTGTTTGAGATTCTAAATGTGCTATTTTGTGGGGTTTGGGAACCTTTCGCCTGACAGTCACCACTTTGAATCCAGACTGGGTCCATTGCTGACCATAAGTCGTTAATGTTATTTTCTGAAGGATGTTCAGTACCCTGAAGGGGTTTCATCTTATTATTTATTATTGTCTTGCTTGTAGACTCAACCGAGATCAGGACCTTAGTGTGCTAGGGGCTGCATAGACTCATGATAAGAGAGCGCTGCCCCAAAGAGCTTGCATGCAGATCCTCAAAGGTGCCTAACTCCTATTTATTTCAGTTTACCTCCAAAGTGGATTATGCTAATTCAGAATAAGGCATTCCTATTCTGGAATAAGAACATCCACACATGGAGTGAATCAGGAATAGTTAATCTGCTTTAAATTCACATCCTACCTTTTTCTGGATTATTTTTCATGTGCCAACAAACCCTTGGTTTCTTTTGCCTTGCTTTGCCATCTGTACAATGCAGATAAGAGCACTGCCCACCAGTGTTGGGAGGGTAAATCCATTTTTTAAAAATTGTGGGGTGCTCAGTTACTATAGTTATGGGGGCCATATAAGCACTTAAGACAGACACCCCAAAAGGGGCCCCTCCAGGTGAGTGGAAGCATCATGTGTGGGAAGCTTGCCCTGTCATTTCCTGTGCTGCCCAGGTTCTGTGGTTAAACAGAAGCCTTTCATCTCCAGAACCAACCTGGCATCTTTCACCAGGGCGAAATTCACTGAAAGAAGAAAACAAACGGAGCATTTTTTTTTTAAGCTGAATGCTTGGAAAAATCCATTCCTGCTTCGCTCCCCTGACAAGCCCTGCGATCAGGATGCTCTGTAATATCAGAGAAACCTGAGCAACAAGCCGTGCTGCCTGCATCACTTACTTAAATTAAGTGTTAGTGATGCCATCAACTGTTTTAGGGGAAATGCATAGCCCTGCGCTGGGAAGTGACAGACATGCAAAACGCGACCAGACTCCCAAATGTTTGCTTTCAACATGTGCAATTGTTGAGTCTGCGCCTAGATGGCGTTAAATCATGCTGGTGCTCAACCCCTTGTGTTTATGTGGTCATGCATTTTTACGGCTGGTTTTGCAGCTGAGTTTGAAAGAATTCAATGGGGTTCTCTGAAGAGCTTTATTTCCCTGTAGTGAATGAGGAATGCTGCAGATCGACAGAATCGAGAGGCAGTGTTTTGTTTTAAACCAGACCTGGAGCCTCTGCTGAGCTTTTAAGATAATGATGTTGTGATCTCCTGGACGGAAAACATTCTCCCTGTGACTCGTCTCCGATGGACAATACCACTTTGTCTTTAGTGTCATCATCCAAGGATCTCAAAGAACTTTACATCTCCTAATGACTGAAGCTGAGGCAGTGTGGACCAGTGGATGGGGCATTGAACTAGGTTTGGGGAGAGATTGGTTTGACTCCTGGCTTTGCCAGTAACGAGCTGTGTGACTTTTGGGCAAGTCATTTAACCTTCTCACCCACTCACTGTCTTGTCTTCTGAAGCTCTTTAGGACAAGGGCTGTCTCTCACTATATGAATGGACAGTACTTAGCACAATGGGGCTTGGATCTTGGTTGGAGCCTTTAGATACTACTGCATGTTCCCATGTAGGTAAGTAGGTTCAGGCACTCTACAGACTAGTATTTAAGTACTTTAAATGTTCTGTACTTAGTACTTGAATTTAAGTACATTTTAAAGGTACTTAAAGAATCAATAACTTTTTTTATCTGCAAATACTTTTTCAGAATAGCTGTAGGAAACCATCCCGTCCCTCCCAACTGTCCCAGAGTCTGGCTAGCCCCCGGAACCCACTGTCCCAGCTTAGGGTTTCAAGCCCTGAGTTCCAGCTGCCAGGGCTTTTTTCTGGTCCTGCTGTCGCACTACTCAGGGAGGGTGGCAGCCTTGCCCCCCTCACCTTCGTTTCTGATTGGTCAATGCAACCGGCAGCAGGAGACCTGCTCCCCGGCCCAGCTGCAATGGGGAGACTTGTTCACAGCACCTGGGGAAAGCCCAGAATACAAGGCCCCTTTGTATGGATACTTTTCTGGAGCAACAACTCCGTGATGGGCCAGTGTCCAAAGAAAAAACAGATCAGCTATTGTAAGAATTAGCTTAATTTTTATAATACGGGGGTTGAAAGAACTTGTATGTGTATTTATAAATACATCAGTTCTATTTCCACAGCATACTTGTACTTCAAAGTTCTCTGTAATGGTGTACTTGGCACTTATATGGAAGTCCATTTTATCAGTACATACGGCAACACTGTGCTGCTGTAATAGAAATAACAGGGAAATGGAGGCAGTGAGAGATGAAGTGACTTGACCAAAGACACGTAGTGAAACAGTAGCAGAGGCAGGACTAGAACTCACGTTTCCCTGCTCTTACCATTAGTCAGGGCTACTCCCCCTGTGAAAGAGCTACAGAGGGCCAGGGGGAGGCTCAATGCCTATTCCCTGCCCCCTGTCCCCGTGTGGTGCTGGAGAAATGGAGTCTCACTGTTCTCCCGAGTCTGCATGTGAGCAGCGCAGTCACCTCCCCAGCTTTAAACAAGGAACATCTGTGCTAAGGAATTCTCTCTCCCTGGCTAGGTATTTTTTAAGTCTCTGCCAAGTCCTGGAGCTTTGCTGCCCCCTGGTTGCTCTCTTCCTTCCCAAACGCTGCACGGAAAGCTGTAGCATGCCCCTCTCCAAAACACACCCTCTCCCACAATACAACAGGGGGCTTTCAAGGTTTGCTGTGGCTCTGTAGTGGCTCAGCTGGGATCACAGCAGCCCCCTTCACTGCTAGCAGAGAGATCTTGCTAGAAGTAAGGAAAACAGACCCAGCCCTGCTCGGCAATCTACTCCCCTTCCCAAGGTTAACAGGAGGGCAGGGTCTGACTCTTCCCTCAGCTACACGAGTGTAACTCCATTGACTTCAGTGGGGTGACTCCTGATTTACACAGGAATAAATCAGAGGAGAATCAGGGCCGGGACATTTTCTGCCCTTTCAGACATGGCTAGTGATTTTGGTAGCCTCCGTTTGTTGGGTGCCCAACTTTAAGGGTCCTGATTTGCAGAGAGCAGGCAGTCAGCACTGTCTGAAAATCAGGCCTCCTGAAGGTTGTCTCAAAATCGTTACTCAGTTCTGAAAGTCTTGGCCCTGGTTCAAAGTACTACATGTTCCAAACCCCACTGAGGTAGCCCAAGTGTGGTTTTCAGTTATGGAAGGGATTTTTGGAGGGGTGGGGGGGCAAAGGGGGCAGAATGGTTCTCAACTGAATTTCAAAGGCCTTGTGCCTGCACTATGGAGCAAGACATTGCGCTGTCCAAAAAGTATATTACCGGAGTGCCTAGGCGTTCTAGTCATGTCCACTGTTATGACTATTACTACCCATGGTGCTGTTAGTCCGGATCTATCCTAGGCACGGCTCTTTTCCAGCAGGATTGTATGAACACTAGCTAGCGCGTCGTGGGCTCTGTCTCTTAGCGCTCTGTCTCCTTTTCTCCCTGCAGAATTCTCCATCAGCAGCTTCTGCACAGTCGTCGACGTCATGAACTTTTCGAAGCTCCAGGTCTTGCGGCTGGATGGGAACGAGATCCAACGGAACGCGGTGCCCCCGGATGCCCCCCTCTGCCTGAGGCGTGCTGCCGTCATTGAGATTTAAACCCCCCCCCTTCCCCCCGTGCTCTCCTCCAGTCCTCAGGGCAGCAGCACACCTGCTCCAGTAATCCAGGCTGGTGGGAGGGGTTCACTCTCGTTTTAACGCGGCTTGATGGTTTGTTTGGCTTCTGCAATAGCGTAATATGGGTGGCACAATAGTAGCCTGTGCAGGGTTCCCTGCCAGAGTAGGAGGGATGTGTCATTAACTCCACCCACTAGATGCTACCCCTTTTAGCCTATCAGGTCACACCAGTATGGAGGCAGGTCTCTGCTTTGTCCTATAAAAACCCTACGGTTCTCTCTCTAACCAGCCAATCAGTTCTCTTGATGATTCCCCGCCATTGTCTTGCGGCACGCATGTCCATGCGGCTCCCACCAGCATGGGTGGGTTGAGCAGAGGGGACTCAAGTTGTCTCTGTTCAAATGCATTGGATTTGAAAGTTTGATGCCAGCTGGGATAGTTTTGGAGTTCATGTTCTGTGTAGGAGGAACTGTGGTAAAGGGATCAGAGACGGGGGAGGAGGAGAATTCAGGTTTTTCAGATGTAGTGTGGAAAAACAGAACAGGCCATGGGACAGGATGGGGATCATTTGAAGAAAGACTGTGGAAGAGAGGAGCAGAGAGGAAGGGCGAGAGGAAAATTCTAATGGAAAAATAGCTATAATCTATGGGTCAGAACTTCACCAGGTGTAAATGGGTGTAGCTATATTGACTTCAGGCAGCAGGTTTAAAACAAAGAAAAGGAAGTATTTTTTCACACAATGTACAGTCAACCTGTGGAACTCCTTGCCAGAGGATGTTGTGAAGGCCAAGACTATAACAGGGTTCAAAAAAGAACTAGGTAAATTCATGGAGGATAGGTCCATCAATGACTATTAGCCAGAATGGTCAGGGATGGTATCGCTAGCCTCTGTTTACTGGTCTCCTCTTACTGCTGAACTTTCAGGGGACTATCCTCCTAAAACACACTGCAGGCTTCTATGTAGCTAGCAAGATGTAGGAGCTGGTTTATAAAGGGGAATTGCCTGGGGGAGATTTGTGTGGTTCAAAGGTTTGCAGACTAGTTTTTCGAGCCCCACACTTCCCCTCCCTCCTCAGAATGTTGGCAAACCAACAGAGCCTATTGGCCGATGATGTGGTCAGGTGTCACCCTCTAGCTGGAACCTGCCAGTAGGATGTTTCAAGCTGAATTGGTCCAAAAAAAAAAAAAAGCCAATAGTTATATAAAACCTGATTCCCATTTATCCTACGGCCCTTTTGAACTGCAAGAGCGTGGCAGCGCGGCTTTAGCATGAGTGCAATTATCTTTAGTGCAAGCAAGACTCCATACCGTGGGTTTTTTAATTGATAGACCGTGGGCCAGTTTCTGATCTCTGTAACAGTGGTGTCAAACCCGGAACAACTGCATTACATCAACTATAAGGATTATAAACCCTCTTGCTTCTAGGTACCAGCTAACCAGTAACTCTGGAGTTAGGGTGAAACTGCTGCTAAGGGAAGCTCGTCCAAGAATTGTCCATGAATGAAATTTCTTGAAGGTTGCTCTGAAGCAGCTGGTACTGGTCACTGTCAGAGACAAGATACCAGACAGATGGGCTCCTGGTCTGAGCTAGTATGACCATTCCTATTGTATCCTATCCTTCATCTTTCTCTATAACCTTTATAGCGTGCCTGCCACCGAAGTGGCTGCCAATGGAAGTCAGTGAGGTGTTACTCTGCATTTTTGCCGGAGATCCAAATCTAACCTCTCCTCTTTGTATTAACTCTTAATTCATAGACACAAACACCCTCAGTGGGCAAAGCGAAAGGAGCATATGTGGCTGAGCAACAGGGATGGATCGACAGGTGCCTGAAACAAAGTTAGCCATGTGAACATGAAACATTTACCAGGCACAAGTTAGCCATGTGAACGTGAAGCATTTACCAGGCAGCAGCACTCACAGATGGAGGGTGCGGAGGGGGGGTTGTCCCTGACCTGTCAGCCAGCCAAGCCAAAGTACAATAGGTGCTGGAACTAGGAGTGCATGTGGGGGCTGCCGCACCCCCGGCTTGAAGTGGTTTCCATTATAGACAGGGTTTACAGTTTAAAATTCCACCTTTTCCTGCAGGGTGTTTGCACTGGATAACTGAGTTCCTGCCAAACTTTGTCCCCTTCGGGTGGGACGAGTGGAATTTCAAGGCTGCAGGAGCATTACGTTTCCCAGTTGCATTGAGTTGAAAGTTATACACTTCTGGCACAACGTAGCAACCTTTTACAGTCCAGGTAGCAGAAGGGCAGATCTTGGGTGGCAGCTTCCTTGGGGTAGTATCAGTCTCTGAGCGTCCTTGCCTGCGTAAGCTCCACCAAATGAATTTACAGGTGACCAGCAGGTACCAGGAGGAGACAGTGCAGCAGGCATAGCCAGAGAGGAAAAGCGTTCTTGTTACTTTCAACTCCTGTGGAATCCAGCTTTGCTATCACTGCTCGTAACGTATGGATCATACCTTTTTTTCCATGTGCTGCTTGGCTGCAGGTGAAGAATGCTACAGTTTAACGAAGTGGCATTCAGAGCCAGTTGTAACTATAATGCGACCCGCCTTGACATTATAATACCAGGCAGGATTCACTCTGGTTCAGTGAGCTTTTGCTCTAAGGCAGACAATCTGGTTCTGGAAAGCTGGTTTCATGGTTGTGTGTGAGCCCAGTCAGATGTCGCACTCAAATGAAAGGAGCTGCCCAGACTGGCCCTTATTGCAAATTCCTACTGTGCCTTCCTGTTGTGGTTAATTGCATTTGTTAAGTGTGGCACTCTCTGCCTGTACAATAGTTTGCCCTTTTCTCTTGAGGAACTCACAGGGTAGCAACTCTCAGTCTGCTCTAAGCATCAATCCCCTTGAATTGTTTTGGTTTGAAACATCCCTTTTCCCCAGCCCAGCTTGGGGTCCCATTTTTTAAAAAATCTTGGCGGTGAATTTGAATTCCACAAAAGCCAAAATACCAGCTGGGTTCATTGGACAAGGCAGAGAACAAGGGTCAGGTGAGCTTCTGGGGGACTTGGGAAGCTCAAAAGGCCATCTAAACCCTCCACATTTAAACTGCATGCTAACGATATAAAGGAATCTGTATTCTCACCAAAGCATGAACTGTAGATATCATACCAATCAATAAAACCCTTTTTATAATTGCATGGAACGTGTTTCAGGAATGCAAAAAAGGGAGGCCAAGTTCTGAATGTCTAGATGGCAATTAGAGATGGGCCTGAAACAAACACTCCAGAATTTTATAAAGGTTTAAGCCTAAATTTTCAAAAGTGACTAGTGATTTTGGGTACTGAACATGAGATGTTAACCTTAAAGGGATGTGTTTTTTAAGAGGACAAGACCCTCAACATTTGCTGAAAATCAGGAAGTCTCTTAAGAGTCTCAGATTGGGCATCGAACAACAGAGGCGACCAAGATCACTAGTCATTTTTGGAAAGGCAGACCATAGATCCTAATTTTACAATCAATACCATGCTCCAAACATGCCTGAGCTTCGGGAATTTTGAAAATGCATCTCTAGATCCTAATTTTGCCGGTTGGATCCCTCTTCAGTGGTGACTGGCAAGCTCTCGTCTAAATTCTTTTCTATTCAGAAAGGTTCTGGAAGGGGGCTTCTGGGTGGAGAGGGTTGTTACTTTAAACAAACAAACCAGCAGCTACCCAAAATTACGAAAAGCCTGCTGACACAATCACACAAGGTACCAGATCTGCCACTGGGCTAAACGGTCAGATAGTCAATTGATGCAAATCATGTAGCTCCACTGACCTGTCTGGAAAGTGAGCCATGGACAGTGTCCTGGTAAAAGCTTTCTGCCAAAAGCCCCATTAGCCAGTAATTTTACTACAATAGCTCTTAGAGACCCCAATGCCCAATTGCTCTTGGTGCTGTGTGCCCATATAGTAAACAGAGTCCTTGCTCTAAAGAGTTTAGGAGGGTGGTGTCACCCTCTCTGGATACTGCTAAAACATCCCTGCACCCAGGGCTTAAATTCAGCCAGAACTGTCTGGAGCAGAGCTCTGGTAAATAGTTTCAAACCCATGAGGCGGAAGCCCCGAGCCCTGGCATGCCCCGTGGGGCTGAAGCCCTGAGAAGCTGCCCCGCAGCTGAAGCCCCGAATGGGACAGGGGCATGGGGGGGAGGGGGTGCCAGGAAATACTGTATGAGAATGTAAGCCCTGCCTGCACCCCTTACTATAGCCAGTGGCTGGGGGATGTTGCTTTTCAAGCAAAGCATCACAGGATAAGGCCCACCTCGATTTTAAATGCGTATTTACTGTGATGAGTAAAATCTTTTTAGGCACCACTGTATTTCTGACGCTAGGTGTCAGTGCTGCACGTCAGTTGCATTCAACTTGCTCTGTTTTTAAAGCCTGAGCTGGGATAGGAATGTTTTGCCCAAGCTTTTCGGCCCCCAGATACCCACACATCTGCCACATCTCCGAAGCCCCGATGAAGAACATCGTCTGCACCCTGCAGGGTGGGGTAGGTTAAGTCCAGACCCGTGGGAGCTGAGTCTGCAGTCTGAAGTTCCTCCAACTCAACAAGAAGTCGATGGCAGAGCAGTGACTGGTGGGCACAAAACCTCAGCTGATTGCTCCATGCTCGGGAGGGTTGGACTGGGCTAAAACGGGAGGGACATCAAGCACTCAGGAGGAGGAGAAAGGAAGAAAGCTGTATCTAGTAGAATCTAGTCTTGGGACAAGGCACCTGTCTCCAGAGATTCCCCAAAATATTCATGAATCCAGGCTCCCTGACAGCCTTCATCGGCCCCATCCCAGGGGAAGGCAGGAGGCAGATAGGACATGCTAGGGGATTCCAGGCACAGCCACAGTCAGTGCCTGTTAAAATGGAAAAGGACGTTGGACCCTGGAAGGTTAGAACAGATCAGAGGCTAGCTACGAGCTACAAGCCCATGAGCAATACAGGGATCTAGGGATATACACAGCTCCTCTCTTCTCAGAGGAGAAGCGGATGGGGTGACGTGAATGGTGCTTCAGACCAGGCTCACCTAAGAAACAGGCTCTTCCTAGGGAGGATAGGACGAGCCTGAGATAAAGAGTCAATAGATTCCCAGAGATTTCTAGGTTGGTCTCCCTAATGTACAGCCCCTGGCTGGATGCTGGCACACCACTATCTGGATCAGCTGCCTCAAGATGGGATGCCTTTCCATGCCCGTTATCTCTCCATCCTTGCTACCTGCACCCAAAATCCATTGCCTTCAGGTGGGGGCCCACATTGCCTCTTCACGTGGCTTCCCAGTGCCAGCTAGAGATGAGGCCCACAGGCACTTGGGTACTCCCCACTCTGCTCTTGGTAACTGCTAGGACTTTGAGCTAACCCGTACGGTATTCCAGCAACCCCTCGGGAGGAACGGAAACCTCTGGAGGTGGAAAATGATGGGGTAGGGAGGGGGATGAGAAGTGAGTCTCACCCACCAATGGGACCATTGAGCAAACACAATATAAGTACATCAGCAGTCACAAAACCCAAGACAATCTCTTCTAAACAGAATCTGGATGATGCCCAGAGGAGTTAACAGATTTCAGCCAGCGCTGGGAGCAGTCCAGGTGTGGAACGCTCCTCAGCCTGTGGGTACCCAGCGTGGGCCTAGGTATGAGCGCAGCTGCTGCAGCTGGAATAGTCGGGTCAGCCAGGCAGGAGGCTGCCTGGCAGAGAAACTGGGGCAGCAAAAGCTGTAAGGAGAGGCTGACTACCAGACCTGACCCAATTGCTTTGACACAGGTGCGCAGAGCTGAGGTTACACAAACAGGAGATGGGAGATAATGGCAGTCTCTCTCTTGCAGCTTGCTCCACGAGGGGCTGAAAGCACCCGCTCCATGGTGCAGGAAGAAGGGAACAGCTTGCAGCCTGACCCAGATAAGGAGAGAGACCTTTAAACAGGTCAGTGCCTGAACGCACTGGAGCTCACTACACTCCTCTCTCTCTGTCTAGGAGTTGGAAGGAAACATGTATTCATCAGTCAGCACACGTGAAATTCAGGGCTGGGGTTGGCAGTTAATATTCAGATCTTTATGAGCGCCATGTCCAGTGATCCGTGTCCTCATCATGTCGACTGATGTTTGCTCGCCTTGACGCTCCTTTGCACACCCTGTCACCATATGATTTTCCTCCCCACCAACTACACTGCTCTGTTGCTTCCCTTCTTATCAGCTTGATCATCTACTCTGATTGAATTCCCATCCCAATCTCCAGGCATCTGCTGTTGTCAGGGTCAGATTAAGTCATAGGCACTATAGGCCAGTGCCTAGGGCCCCAGTACTTGGATCAGTGTCGGAATCACAACTTTCATTAAAAACAAAACAAAACATTTCTAGCCTTCATAGTTGCAAAGAACATCCTGAAAATATGAACCCAATGCCTGACTATGCAGACAGCCTGCAACAATAGCTCCGCGAGGTGTGAACTGCCTCATGCATCTCAGTGGGGTGTTAGCTCCAAGACCCACTGCTCTGGGGGCTTCCCCAACGGAGGACTCACTGCAGTCAAACCAGACCTTATGTTAAATCTCTAGCAAAGAGAAGGCCAGTGTGTGGGAGGAGAAAAGTGCAGCCGGCCTAGACCACCCACACACCTCAGTTGCTGGGGTAAGTACTGAAAAGTCTCTCTGCCTCTCTTGGGTTTGGAGAGGAGTTCCTGGTGCATGTTGCGTGAGTGAATATGCCGTGCCGTGAACCCCTTTCTGATAGGGGGTCATGCTGGATTATGGAGCTAGCAGAGCCAAAGCAATAAGGGAACCCCACAGCAGGCAGAGTCTGGGAATCCGAAAGGCCCCGATTGTCACTAGCATGGGAGTTTCAGGAGCACACTGGGTGCGGTTAAATGGGATCAGTCCCGGACAGTCCCTCTCCAGCAGATGCAGCCCTCCGTGCACAGTTGTTCACATACAGTGACTGCTGAATATCCAGACAAGTGGGGAGAATCAGTGACTCTCATCAGGTGCATGGTACCTCCTCAGCTGGTGTTAGCCCAATGGGTCTCCCTGCTGACCCTCAACCACGTCTTATCATGCCCACTAAATACACACATCTGACTTCCCTCGGGATCGTTGGGAAGCAGATGGTTAACAGTGGCTGTGTCCCTGGCTTTGACATGGTTTTGATGTAGGTAAATACCAGCTGCAATGAATGTGTCTGCACTCCCTGGGATTGACTGAAGTCCCAAAGTCCTGCCCCAGCATGGGGCAGGGCCAGGCTCAGGGCCAGCCCGGAGATGGATTCTTTGTGGAGAGGATCAGGCTCATCGTAAGCCCAGGGATGAAGAGTTTGTGAGGAGGGCTCTAGCCTTCTCTCCAGTTGTCCCAGAGTCCTAGCCCGGGCATTACAGCACACTCCAGGCTGTGCATATCTGGTCCTGGCGTTCGGCAAGTGACCTGACACCCATCTGCCTTCAGTCTCAAAGCCCTGCCAGAGACAGCCTGCAACCACCCAGAAACATACCATGGCTCACTACCCGTCCTCCTTCCTCCATAATAGCATCCATTCATCCAGATCAATGGGGGGGGGGGGAGATGGTAATGGGAAACACACCCCCTGAAGCAGTGCGGGGAGCCCCACTGTTGTGGGGGGAGCGAGCATTTGTGGGAGTTTTTCTCTTGCAAGGAGGCCTGCAAATTCCTTCCCTTTCAGCTGCTCAGCACCCCCCTCCCCTTCCTGTGCTCAAAAGCTGCCCAAGTGCCCTGTACACATGGCTCTTTGTTCCCGGGTCAGATTTTTGCCTTGGAGCACTGAGCTACCCTTCCAAAAACAACACTGTCCTATAGGACCAAGGAGAGCCGGGCATCCTGGGATGTTTGCATTGGAGGTCCCTGTCTGCTGACCCATCCCACATCCCCAAAGCCATTGAATTTGGTCTGGGGTGAAGAAGAGGGGGAAGAAAACAAAAATTAAGATGCACTGGGATCTGCAGATCCGGTTTTAACGGCAGGGCGAAGTGGTTCTGACACCACTAGGGCTGTGGTTAGACGTGGTTCTCATAGCCAGTGGGGTTGAGTCACAGGCAGGTGGGGAGTCTTTGCATATTCTGCTTTTAGGACCAGATCCTCAGGTGGTGTAGATTGGTACAGCACCACTGAATGCCACAGATTCACACCAGCTGAGAATCTGGCCCGTTAACATCAGTGGAGTGA